ATCAAGAGGTATACAGATTATGTATTTATCAGAAAAATACCATTGACTCCAAATAATCAATAATATCAAGAGTCCCTATGAGATTCAGCTACTTCACCTGCCAGTCTTTTTGACATTACGGTATTATTCCTCTTGCTTTAAGATGTTTTCTTCTTTCAGCTGCTACTAAGCCTGCACAAATGGGAAGGAGCCAAATGATTGCACTGAGGAAACAGTGAGGCTGAATAGATACAAAATGCTGTCAAACACACCGAGTGAACAGAAAAAATATGCCTTTAATTTCTTTTAGTTCTTGCCTATTACTTCTACCAGCAGTTGGGCAGGGGGAGAGGGAAAATAAATCAGATGTGAGAAAGATTGTCGGGATGACAACACCACACTTAAAGAGATACTGATAACATTTACAGGATTAAAAATGCATGAAGAAAGCTGTGTCTAAAAACTAACTCCTGAAGAAATGTGTAGAAGAGCCCCCCAGTTCTGTGCCCTCTCCTATCCTGCTGATGTGAGCAGGGAGGGATGTGAGGCTCAGGGGCGTTTAACTCAGTCCTCGTCTCCAACAGCAGAGAGACAGCACAAAAAGGGCTTTCTAAGAACAAGAGCCTCCCAGCAGAAGTCCAATTCCACCAAAAAACAAGACCGCAGCAATGCCCAGTCCTCAAAGCAATGCTGAGCCCACTGCCCCCTCCAACCCAGCAGCAGATGAACTGCCTCTGCTCGGGTTTGCTTGTCGTCACCTACAGGAGGAGCCACGGCAAGGGAGTGACGGTCACTTTGTGCTGAATTAATATCTCATCATGAACACTAGTGTGGCTTTTTGATCCTCTGCTGTGAAAGTAGAGAACTCCACCGAGGTCCTGGTGGCAGGGTGCTAAACTGTACCCCTGGGGAGCCCCCAATCCAGGCATGCACCAGTGGTGCCACTGCAGGCCTGGTCCTACAGGAACATCTGTCTTGGCCTGCATGGCCTGCCCCTGGCCCTCCTATCCCCGTGGGCAAAGCACACAAGGTCTGGAGGATTTTGTCCTCCCCCTGAGGCAGTGGGAGGTTTCTGCCTGCAAGAACAGCACTTGCATCTGACAAGTGGAAAAGCAGCCTGATATCTTCTGGCCTGTGTTATTAAGTGGTGGGTTGCCCTCATCATGATCCCAGTTAAGCCAGTAAGTGTTTTGCCAGCAGCTTCAGCAGAAGCGTGTTCAAGCCCCAGGTACCAAGGATTTGATGGTGGCAGGTCACCTAGAAAACGAACTGAAATTTATAAAGGATAGTGCTGCTGTCATATCAAGAGACAGAGTGGTAAGGACTGGGAGGACAGACAACACATGACTGTTTTCACGACATGTTACTATACAGATCAGCTGAAACTTGTACCTGGTAACAAACACCTCTCTCAGAAATTGCATTGAAATGTATGATCCTGACAAGATTTTCTGCTTCAGATCTCTTTCTCTCTTTCTGTTGATAGCCAATGGTTACCTTTAAATCTTCGATACAGCAAGTAAAGGTTTCTACCACAAACGCTGTAGTAACATTTATTAATTGCAAACTGTATCTCTCAGGACGTTAATGGTGACTCTGATGCAGCTTCACTTTCCTTCAGCAAAAGAAATCTTCGCATTACTATGTGGTTTTCTCTCTATACCACTAACTGCTCTCCTATGCGGGTTGTCTGACAGTAACAGACTTGTTACCCTATTTGTACCTCTGTAATATGCTGCTAAGAGGAACTAATAGCTTGCTAAGCAGAACGACTTTGCTGCTTTCTGCATACTTTGTTGGTATTCACACTGTCTTGAATTTTTGGGCTTTAATATCAATTTTGTTCATGTATCTGTCAAAGACAATTAAATTATATGACAGCCACAATCTGTATTGGACCAATCCATGCAAATCTTTCGTTGTTGCAGGTATGAATATTTTATATTACACAATAAGAAACTAAAAGCCATGCAATTTGATTTAGCCACAGGGTCTCCAGTCAAGGATGTGTGGTTTTGCAAATAATCCAGCCCTCTGCACTGACCTTGAGCCGAATTTTTGAAGAATATATATTTAAAACAAAATATTGCCTGGGGTATTTAGAGAAAATGAAGCTGGCACAGACAAACCCCGTGCCATACTAAACTCTTATCAGTGAACACAACTTCCCTTTAAAACAAGCTTAAAAAGCCATTTGGTTTTCCTCACAACTATAGAATACTTTACTAGGATTTTATTTTTGATAGCAAGGAATGTGGACCCCTTATTCCTTCCTTTGTGTGCACACTTAACTCCCGTTATATTTGTGTCAGAGACTTCTATTTATACTATATTCATAAAACTTGAATGTACATAAGTGCAGCAATTCTTGATTTTCCCTGATGTGCTCCAGCTCAAATTCAAGTCTTTCTCCTCAAAAAAATAATACAAATAAAATAAAATAAAATAAAAATCAAATTATCAACTATAAGAACTTATTGCAGCGATGAAGCTTAGAGCATAAAATTACGTATGTAAGAACAGGAATTCCAAGCATATAGATCCAAAAGTTTTCAGAAAAAATGTCTGAGATTTATAACATATTGGTAATATAAGAATTAAACAAGTAATCCCTATAAGAAAAAATTATGGAGCATAGCTAATATAAATGTTATCTATGTTTTGCAGTTGTATGACTCCTGGATATATCAATTACAAACTTACTAGATAAAGCAAAAGTGGAACATGGTATGCTCTGTACTACAGTCATTCTTCCTTCTTTATATTTGTTAAATTCAACTAAGAGCTGTATATACTGTTTTAAACACATTGGGTGGAATGCTTTTATTTATGTCATTCGGCATGCTTACGACTCTAATTATATTGATTATCTTTCCTATTATTTAAAAATTACTTTATTGTTTTTGAAAAGCTGCTGCCAAATCTCTTTTCCTTTAATGGAAAATCATACGGCAGATGCAAAATAGACAGCAAATTATTATTGCAATTAAAAAATAAAATAAAATAATAGGCAGACTACAAGAAGCAATGACTACACAATCATTTCTTTACATTTATTCTCTACGTGATGCACCCTGCAAACCGCCCAATATTTGAAATTTGATCAGCTAAGCTACCAGCGGTTGTATGCCTGAATTACAGAGCATGTAATTTGGCCTCTATATCCAGTACATGCCACTTTCCTACAGCTTTTGCTTTACATGCATAAATGAAATCTGTGGAAATGTCTTCATTTTTCTAGATCACTTTAAGCGGCATTTGCAGTGAAATAACTTCCATGAAACACATTAAGCAGATCTAATTATGCAGTTCTGAGAAGAAAATAGCCTGTACTTAGTGTTGTTCTTTGGCTTTTTTTGACAAAAGCAAAGGATAACGTCTGGCAGAGTCCTACTGTTTGATACACTCATGTGCTGTTGCACCTCCACTTGCCTTCTAGCATTTTAAAATAGGATGTTTCATTCAAAAAAGGATGCTAGTAGTCACAAAAATGACTAACCGCATAGATCTTATACACCTAGTACATATTGTTTAACTGCTTGTACATTTCTGGAGACACATTTTAAAGTGCACTGCGCTGGGCACTCGTGATCATGTCGATCACTTGTTGCTAAATTAAAGGGATGTAGGCTGTCTCAAATGACAGGGAAACATGACAGATATGGATCCAGGAACTAATTATCAGCAAATGCGAGAGCTGACACTAAAGCATGCCTGTAAAATTATCACACTGGTAATACAGAAATCAAACCCGAAAACTTCTCAGCAGAAGTGGAAAAGCCACGGTAATTACAACTTGTGAACTGATGACAGTCAGCCTCTACCTTTGTTCTTATTTCATACAGACCTGATTTCTTTTTCCCTTTCTTGGCTCTGTTCCTGAATTAACTTTTAAAAAGCCATCTATCTTACTTGAACATCGGAAGCCGATACTGGCAAATGCAAATGTATTGATTTTATTGATTGACTGATTGATAGGCATATCCAAAACCAGATGGGCTACCCCTCGGAAAGTTTAAGACATGGAAGAAAAAAGAGACAGAGAGAGGGAGAAGGAGACTACTTCCCAAATCCACACATTTCAAGCCATCTGAACACTGTTCACTTGCGGCAAAGTTGCCCAGCTCTAAAGCCAGGGCTGAATGAATCTCACTAAAGGAGACCTAGTAACCCAGTGATCCTTCAGACCTCTGCTTCAGACCGTTGTTTCCTGAAAAAAATCTGGTATCAGATTTTACCCTTTCTGTATACTTGATGTTAGCTGTCTGAAAGAGTGCATGTTATGTGCATGTGTGTGATCACAGTCCTATTTTAAAGCTCTTCAAAGAATATTTCTGCCTGATACCATTCTTGTCAGCCACATTTCTGTAACACAGAGGTTCCTATCGCTGTGCAGCGAATATGTGGGGTTTTTTTACTCTTATCTCATGTAGTGCACTTGATAAGGGGTACTACTGAATCTTCTTCTGCATGCTGCATTACAAAGAAAACTGTCTTTTTGCAAGGCATTTTCTCTCCACTGCTTGCACAGAAAATAAAGGCTCTTGTAACTGTTCAGACCTGACTATGAATTCTCAAATGAAAACTGGAACCCTTCTACTGTATCTGAAGTATAAATCCCCCAAAGATTCTTGCCTCTCAAATCATACTCGCTGTAATAAAGGTTAATATTGGACTGAACTTATCGTATTCTAGCATCACATGTGAAGTTCCAGATCTGTGTGTATGATCTATTTTCTTCTTCATTGTTGAAATTAAAGAATAGGACAAAACACTGTATATATTATTAAAAATAATAGAACAAGAGTATTTTACTTAAAGACAGTTCAAACCTACTGCTTTCATGAGGAGGAAAAAAAAAAACATGGTGCAAAGTACCGGGGGGAGGGAAGGGAAGAGCATCTGTTGAAAATTAACTACTTCAACATTAATTAACACATAATTTTCTACCTGATGATATAGTATTGTAGAAAGTATAAATTGAAGGCACAAGAGTAAGAAATGAGTCATCTTTGACTTACCGTATCAAAGACTATTGCTGTATTGCAGTCAGCATCCAAATACAGAGCATGAAGCTTCTCACAGATCAGAAAAATATGCAATCAAAGAACGAATCACATTCATTGTAAAAATAAAGGCCAGAGATTAGAGTACGTATCCAAGGGTCTGGTTAGTCACAGCTTTGACTAGCCTGCTACAGAGCTCTGCAAAACAAGTATACTGCAGCAGTGTGGCAAGCATAGGATTGCAATGCATGTCCCATATATTCAAGCATAATAGAAAACATGGTCTGGAGCTTATTCCATGTGGAAGTGGGGTTTGTTTTATGCAGGCTGAAAAAAGAGATATTTTTTTCCCACATAATAGAATTAGAAATGAAGATTTTTCTTGATTATTGTACACAATAATTCCCCAGGATATCAATTACATAAAGCAGGTGCCTCTGTCTCCTGTTTCCCAGATAAATGCCTGTAATCTCATTTCACAAATGATCCTATTTAGACAGGAGCCACCTATTGTGATGATATCATTTGCTCTAGTATCCATAAATGGGCAACTTCCTACTAAACGTCATGACCACTGACGACACAAATCTTTATAATATTGAGTGGGCAGGGTGGTTGATGGGGTCCCATCAATCTACAGCAGCTTCTGCTGATGAGATCTCACGAAACCTGCAGAATCATCTAAAAAGCTGAAAATGAAGAGAAACAGTAAACCTGTCTGGTGGAGCTCATTACAAATAAATAAATAAATACATTTAAAAGGAACTGGAGAGGTAGTAAAGGCAAATAAAGCATAACCACACAGCAGTGGCACCTTTTCAAATGCCTCATGCACTCACAAGGCTACTGGTAGATATGAACAAAATCACTCTCAGTTAAGAAGTGCAGCTGCCAATTTCCTTTTAGCAGATCCTAAGGACTGTACATACTCTTTCCTTGCAACTGCAAAATATACACTGACAGCAAAAAGGACCGATGCTTCAGTGATGCACAAATTAGCCCACTCTTAGGGAATATTTTTAGAATTAGCAACTGCTTGTCACAGTAGCTTGGAATATGAACTCTGTAACAAAATCTCCTCAGACTGTTTGAAATCCAGTCTCCTAGACCGGTTTGCTTCATGCTCTAACTGGGTGGATCATACATGAATTTAATTTCCCAGATCACTGTTTTCATAAGAAAAATCATTCCATTAAATACATGAATTTGGGAAATATTACGATACAATTAGCAGAAATTAATTTCCATCTGCCTGCACATGGAGCTTTGAGGAGAGGTTAAGGTGATGCAGGGTTCATTGGCTTCCCCACCCTTTCCCCAAGGGACTCAGTTGCTCCTAGTGGCTAAAGCAAATTGCTGAAGAATCTTGTGTTGAATATTTTTCTTGGCAGAAGTTGGCAAGAACTTCAAAACAAAGCCCCCAGTTTCAAAGAAACAATATGAGAGCATTTTTCAATGTTATATCTCCACAAATCTTGGTTTACATAGTCCTGCTTTGAACAGACAGCACAGCATCCAAACAACTCCTTTTTACTATACAGGCATAACATGATCCATCCATATTACTGTTCGGGCAACACTCACTAGAACCCCAGTCAGGCTGGGGATTTGGGGCAGAAAACTTTAAAGTTTAAAAGCACAGAAACTGTGATGCCTGTCTGTATGCCTGATGTGGTTCTACCACAACAGGGTCCACTTCTTGAAATCCAGCTTGCCCACCAAGCACAGTGCTTGTAATACCTTTCATTCACTTCATAGCATCTTTGGGACAGGGGTCATCGTCTGCTAAATTTCTGTATGATAAATAGAGAGGGTCCCAACTGCAAGCAGTGTAAACGTTAATAATAAAAGCAGTACTGCCACAGTGACTCACATCAGGTCTAGATGGGGTGAAAGGAAAATATGAGCACAGCATCCATAGCTTCAAGACAAAGCTATGCTGTCAAAACAGAAAAGTCAATGGATTTTCTGAAAACACCCTAAAGAGATGAACTCCTTCCTCAGAGACAAAAATCAATGGAGCAAACTACTTCAGAGGACTAAACAGCAGTTGAGACATGAGCAGGTGCTTTCCTTCTCCCTCCTGACCCTGCTCATCTTCAAGGTAGCACTAGCTGATCTCCCTAGATAGGCTGTCTTGGCAATGCCATAAATGTTGATTTGACTCAGGGGATCATAACCCCTTCATTTCAGTACTGGGTGTAAGTAGAAAAGCACATACTCTGCATGTCCAGATGGCATAAATATTTTCCACATGTTTTCATGACAAAAGATAAAGATAACACAAGAAATGGTTAGAAAGTGGAAGCATGTGAGAGCGTAACAGAGATTGATGGTCCAGAAGTTTCTCTCTTGTCTAGATAAAAAATGATGAAATGTGAGTGAGGAGAAAAAAAAGGCAGAAAATAGCTTAAAAGAATATTCATCATTGTTCCATCAAACTCGGTCCTGCCTTGGGAAAAGCCAACTGTCAGATTTTCTTGGTAATGTACAAAGACTTACAAGGCTCTTCCAGACCCTACTAGGAAAGCATGAATTTTCTTAAAGCAGTATATTTTTGAGCATCTGAGCTACTCTTCATTAACCTAGTTTTGAGCTTATCAAACATGCAGTAATGAGCAAGAATGGCCTTCCCATACAGAGCAGGATGTTAAACATGGTCCAGTGGAAGATACCCTGACGGTTCTGATCTTTGCTTAAAGACGCCTGGACTTTATAGGAATAAAGAGATGGGGACATGATTTCCAAGCTGTTCCCATTTGTGTTGGAAGATACTGTGAGAAAATACCCCAAACATATTCTCATTTTAGGAATGGGCTTAAGGATTATACTGAAAAGAGTCACTTTAGAGAAAGGAAAGCTGCTGAACTGGGTGCAGGGGAAACTGCCGTAAGCCACAACATCCAATGTTAAGCAAGCAACCAGTGGACATGTGGCAAAACTGCAGACCACACAAGATAGTGTTCTGCCACTATGCCTTTGCTTTTCATATGAGATCATAACAAAAGAATTGAGACCCTAACAAAGAAGTTGGACTACCTTTGAAATTCCTACTTTCCTGCTGTCTTCCTTTTATTAGGCTTATTCTTTTCCAGCACACTTGGAAATGAAATCTCTCCAGACATTTGGGCCAGTCTATCAATCTGCACGTACCTGGGCAGAAAATAAGCAGACAGGACTTTGTTTAAAATGTTTAGACCTTGCACTAATGAGAAGTGGGACCCAAGTAATAAAATACCACTGGATTTTCGAAACTCCATTCTGAAAGGGAAGAGACAGCAAGGTGTTACCTTCTCGCATTATCACCATTAGCACCATGCTTCTAAACACCTACTGATATTTTAGTAGATAGTATCTTCAAAGAAGAGACGGAAGAAACTGCTTCAGTTAAATAAGCTTTGTCTGCTTATTTGAGTAGCAAGAAACCCTGCCATCTCCAGTGTCACTGTGGCATATATTAACTAGTGGGAAAACATGGAGATGATCAAAAATTATACTGAAAAAATTGCAATGCCTTCCTCTTTAAACTGCAGACTACCAACAATCAATGCCAATAAAAAGTGTATCTTATGTGTCATCCTTTTGCAGACATGGAGTAGGACAACAGTTACTGCAGTTTGTGCGATGCTTCCTTTAATTGTGTTAGTAAGATCTGCCCTTGTTTGTGTCAATTAATGAGGAACATGCAAACTAAGACAAAGAAAAGCCTCATAAGAACTTGCACCTCCACTCATTTCTATGGCAAACAAACAGGAAAATTAAACAAGGCTCTTGGACAAGGAAAGTTTAATCTGCTATCCTTTTCTAATATTTGCAGTCAGGATCAGAAACACTAAAAGCTAAAATGTGAATCCTCCTTCTTATAGCTAGGTCTATTGTGCCTAAAACCTCTTGAGTATTTGAACCTAAGTGACATGGCACATTGGACAGACATTACTACAAGATGCATTGCTGTACCTAAGCAAACATTCTTCCTTAAATCTCTCTGAGATTCATCACTATGGCTTTTCAACAAGGCCACAGAAAACTCCAAAGGGGGATTTCAACCTCTTAAAGCCAAATGCAATTTGGCATAATATAATAACGATGTGAAGAACAATCTATGGGTTTTAATTACTTGTCAAAATCCTATTACCCAACAAAATCTAGAAATACCTATTGTCAATATCAGATCTAAATGAATTCTTAGGAATATCAATCCCAATATGTTGTTGCTTAACAGACAAAATAATCAGAAAAAAACCTCTGTTCATAAGCTCATTTCTATACCACCAGCTGCAGTGCTGGTACCTCAAAGAAAACATGAATGTTCATTTTAATTTCACACTCCATTAGAAATACAGGTGTAAAAAATATCTAGAAAGTGAAAAATGACATTTTCTAATGGGAAAATACATAATTTTAATGTCCATATCGATAATAAAATAATTGAGATCACAATTATTTAAAATATTTAAGGGGGGCTTTCCTTTCTTTTTCAAAGCCAAGATAGCCCAGTTTTTGATCGATAGGGTAACTACCATACTTTGCATCTATTGACCCTCCTATATAAATCACCATCATTTGGGAGATTGGAAGAAATTGATAAAAAATTGTCTGATGCAATTTTCCTTTTGAAACTGTGCAGTTTACTAAGTCACCGTCTCCTTGGTATAAGTCCCCACTGTTCTGAAATAGAATTGTATTGAAACATTTATGGCCCAATCATTTGTGCAAAATGCTGCTTAATGTCTTCTTACAGAGACCTCAATCCTGTAGAAATCTAGAATGGTCCTAATACTGACCAGCAAAGGTGATCATAAATCTGTGACATGTAAAAAGTTTATTGCAGGTTAGGATGTTAGAAATTCTTTGTATTCTTCTGATATCACCTGGGTGGAAGATGCAGCTGTGAGCAGGACTTTTTGTGAAAAATCCCCCAATAAGGGGTGATGCAAGACAATGTTTACATGTCAGTTTCTGCATTTTTTACATTCCTAGCGTTTTTTAGGAGCAAACAGTAGGTTTGATGACAAGATTGGAGATGGCACTCTAAGAAGTAGAATTGATAAGATATTGGTAAGCAGCAGAGCCTCCAGAACCAAGCTCCTGGTTGAGATCTCACCCTGTCATACAGTTTGAAGCCAAAAAGTCCTAGAAACAATGGTGAAAAAGAATTCCTCTGCTTACCTCTCTTGAGTTCAATTGTTTTTATGTTATAATAAAGAAAAAAAAAAATTAACACTTATAATACCAGCTGAACAACTTCTTGCAGAGAAAAAGAGGTTCTGATGCTGTAGCACAAGGAATATGAAGAGTATGACTTAGAGAGCGAGCTTTGTGTAAGAAACCAAGGAGAAAGAATCAGGGAAAAGCAAAAGCAGATAAACAAGGCTTTGAGGAAGTGGAATAGAAATGTACGTCCACAGCTGCAGAGCTGAAAGGCTTTCTCAAGGCCCTGAATGGCCAGAGGAGCCTCCTGCCCATGG